CCTCTGGAATGTCTCTCTCAAGAACTTGTCTGAATATAAATTCAGCTCTTGGGCAGAAAGAAGTTCCACATCCCTGTTTAATGGCAAAGGAAGATAATTACGTATTACAAGAAGCAATGTAGCCACTGGTGCTTTTCTCTGACCTTTTGGCACTGCGTAGATATGAGTCAGACCACATGATAAATCACATCCAAGGTCGTCACTGGGCTGTTGTTGAAATGTAGGTTATCATGTCTGAACCAAACTGAGATAGCAAACTATGGTGAACAACCCAACAACAGCCCATGGCTTCTCCTCGTGGGTTTACATGGTTAACAAACCATGGCTTGTTAGTGCAGCTGTGTTCAGAAAACAAAATAGCCCTGAATCCAACAACCCATACTCAGTCCTTGAACATGGGTTATCATGTTGTCTGAACTCAGTTGTGTCTCTTGTGTAGGAGAATCTTCACTGCCGTCTGCCAACATCTTGACTCCTAGGGAATCTCCTGAGGCAGCCTTTGAACTGCCAGCAACCCTCTTTGCTGTGTTGGCTGGTATACCATCATGAAGCTGTCACACTAGGTTAATTTTGCAAATGTATCTTCTCTTTTACCTGTTGATGTGCTGTAATGCTTGGGAGACTTTTTTAGAGAAGTTGCATCAGATGGATTTTACTTTCTTTGGGAACTTAAGGACTTTGGATTTCTTGTGAGGACGATGTAAATATTTGTTCAAAAACCAAATTCATAAGGTACCTCTTACCCAAGTTAACAAATTCTGTTGTTGCAACTGCTGATGAAGGTTCAGGCTGGGTGCATCTGTTGCGGGGCAGATGACCGGTCCGGCTATTCTGGAGAGGGTGGCTGCTATTCCCTGCCTGCTTTTGCTCCCGACAGCCAGATGTTTGTAGCATGCAGCTGTTGCTGCTGGACAGCTTGAGGCTTGAAGCTGACCAGGCCACAAGGCTGCTTCTTTTTATTCAGAGGTTCTGATATGGAGAATTCCCCTTCTAGAGCAAGCCTAAACCTTCTGTTGAGGAAGTAACTGTTCATGAATGATGCCTGAAGCAAAGCCAATGTGGTTTGAGGCTGACAGGAAACCCATAAACCTCTGCCAGAGAGTTTCCTCTTGCTTTGTGTAGATAACACAAAGCAAGATGGGAGAGGGAGCGAGCAGAGACTCTGTTCACAGGAAATGAATCCATCATAGCCAGGAAATAAAAGGATATGGGGAAACGTATGATACTAATATGAGGGGATGCAGAGAGGCCTTCTGTATCCAGCAGTGGCTCTGGGAAGCTGAAAATGGGCCTGTTTGCATGTCATTGCCAAGCCACCCTGGCAACAACCCATATGGGGTATCGGGACCCATTGAGGTACTGATAGATGATCAGGATCATCATGAGTTGCTCTCCCCATCCCTCCCCACTGGTCCTCCTGTGGGTATTCCAGGGGACACCATGTCGGAACCAACCTGTCTCTCCCTCCCTGCTGCAACTGCAGGCCATTTCTGGCTCACCGCATCTCTTTCTGCTTTACCCTTCCCCACCCTGCAAAGGGATCCGATCTCAGGCTTGATCGTCACGGATAGCTCTTCCAAAGTGCCAAAGTGACACCCTGGAGGGGCTGCCCATGGTTGAAAATCCATTTTTATTATTTTTGGATGACCTGATGTGTGCCAATATTAGGGCGCATTTTGTTTGTAGGTGTTTTGCAAGTGCACAGATGCGTGAGTTCATGAAAGCAGCAGCTCCTTGGTACATAGAATGAGATCATTCGTCCAGCTAGCTGGCGGTACAGTGGAGCCAAAGGTTGCGAGGATGCAGCCCTTTTTGCTGAGCAGGGACACTGACATCCTCTGTCACTGCCCCCGCTCCAGAATTTTCTGTTCCATCCGAATTTAGCTGCAGTTTTCATACACAGGGTGGAGGGACTGGGCCTATACATTTTCCCAGTACCAATATATTGTTCCTTGTTGTAATGCACTGTAGTTTTGGGTGGGTTGCTCTTCGCAGTTAAGAGTTGATTCTGTTGAAGCTAAAAACTTCTAGAACTGGTTGTCTGTACCAATCAACACATGACTTTTGGACTTGCCTTTGAGCAGTGGCTATGAGACTGTCTTGATGGGTACCTCCTGAACCAGTGCACCTAGCCCAGTCCTGCGCGGCAGTGACTGTCCAAGGTGTCAGGAGCAGATATTCTGCCGTCACCCACTACTTTTAACGGGTGGTGCCAGGGCCCGAATCTGAGATCTTCTGCATGTGAAGCAAGAGCCACAGCAGTAGGTGCCTTCCTGTTGCTTCCTTGGCACCCAACCTATGGCATTCACTCCCCAAAGAGGTCCGCCTGGCACCGTCATTACTGGTTTTTCGGCACCAGGTAAAGACCTTTTTATTTAAACATCATTTTAATTGTTAAAATATATGATCTGGCCAGGACAACTTCTTCTTCCTTCTCTTTTCGCCTCCTATATTCTTTATTTACTTATTTTATACTGTTAATTTTAATTTTATATTATTGTATCTCAGTGTATTTTTGTATTTAAGTGGTAATTTATTATGTTCTATTGTATTTGAATGTATCTTATTGTGTTGTAAGCCGCCCCGAGGCTTCGGCAAGGGGCAGCATAGAAATGTTATAATCATCATCATCATCATCATCTCTTGTCTCTGGACACTGAGATAGCTAACAAGCATATCAGACAGCACATTAACCCACACTCAGAGGTGGAGTATGAGTTGTGTGTGGGTTGTTGTTGAACCAGAGGTTATCATCTTGTCTGAACTCAACAAGGCTTTTTAATCATAAACAACTCATTAAGAGAACCCATGGGGTGTTGCTGGCTTGTTCACCATGGTTTATCATCTTGGGCTAGGTTCTGCTTCAGTGACAACCCACACTCAACTTCGCAGCATGGGTTATCTGTGTCAGTGTCAATTGTGAAATGCAAAACAAACCAGAAAACAGTAGAGTGCTGCCTTTCCCAGATACGTAGTTTCCTTCTCTCTTCCCGACTGGATTTCCATGCCCGCCTCCAATACTTAATCAGTATTATGCTCAGTCCTCATGGAATGCTTTTCATCCCACCTGCTGCCATTGGGAAGGGTTGCTCAAGGGTTTTTTGTACTTCCTCAAATCTTGTACTTCCAAAGCCTGCTGATCCGTCCTTCCTGTGCGCTGATGGCACCATTTTGGCTCAATGAAGAACCCTGGGGCAGTGGCTTTGCTCTTTGTATACAGCAGAAAGTGGATGGAGACACCAGGGGATGCCACCTCAGCTCTATGGGCCATAGTTGGCCCACCTGGGGTTCTAGTCAAGCTCTCTAGGGTTCCCCAGAAAACCCTGCTCCCATTTTCTCATAGCTAGTCATCTGGTGCTTTCCTAGCTTTTGCATGCCTTCTAACATACCTCTTCTAAGGCCGAGTTACTGGCAGTACATGCTTTCATCTAAAATATGTGGGTATTTGGGATATGTTGGTCCCACCTCCTTTGACTTTGGCTTTGGCTTTGAAATGCAGCCCCAAGCCTGAGTTGGGCACTCAGGCTAAAAGCGGTTAAACCTTCTGATGTCCACATGCATGCACATGTTTCACAGCACACTTCTTTTCACCAATCACTGTTTCTGGTTAAATAGGTTTAGCAGGTTTCCAAAGACTGCAAAAGCTTGCTACTAGCTCCCAAAAAAAGGGCCCCCAAAATTGCCAACTTTTCCTATGACCTCCGTTTCCATTCCTCTAAAGAAGCTGCTGCTTGTCTTCATTCTGTAAAGATATAAATCACCTGCTGATTTCTGCAGATCAAGATGTTGTTAAAGGCACGGGAGTCTTTCAACTCGTACTAGTTTTTAAAACAAACAACCCCTGGACAAATGTTCATCGTCTTAAGTGTCGGTGTCAAAACACAAACAGAAAATCCATCTGGTGGTGACATGGTTCTAAAGGCGTCCGCAAGGCTGCTTCACCTCCGTCGATTTCCCGGGCTTCACGAACAAAACCAGAAATGTTCTTGAAGGCTGGCGAGCATAAAGCGGAATGATGCATCGCTCTGGCGGCTGCAGCAGCAACCGCAAAGGTTTGAGATTTCTTCTTTAAAGCAAGAAGAGGGAAAGCGAAGGAAACCCACAAGGTGCTCGGGGAGGGAGGGGTGTGTGCATGTGTGCGCGCGCTTGAGCGCGTGGAAGGGAAGGCTTTGAAAACTTGCAGTGAAAGCCAGCGAGCTTCCAGCTCCCTTCAAAGTCATCCTAGCGCTGGGGAGGCGAGGAGGAAAGGCACCTCTCTCCGACACCCCAGCGGGTTCGGCAACGATCCCTGCACGCACGGCTCCCAAATCCAGAAGGCACAGGCAGCCATGGGAGAAGATCCAGCGCGTAAGTTCACTCTGCTCGTGGGAGAGTCCCTATTTACGCTTCTTCGGGAGCGACCTTATTGGGGGGGGGGGGGATCCCAACAACTCCCAGCTTTCCCCAGCCAGCAGTGAATGCTGGGAGTTGTAGGAATTTTTTTCTGTCTCAACATGCATAGGATCGCACCCTTACTGGTTGGTTCTGCTGTAAATCTGTCTTGGTGTGGGTGGGTGAACGGGAAAAAAACCCACTTTGTTATTCGAAGCCAGCCTCGCCGCCAGCGATATTAGCCTGCTGCTCTTGCAAAGTTTCGGCCGTCTTTCCCCGAGCAGAAGTTGGGAGTCGGTCTTGTCTTCCCTTTTCTGGCGCGCTCTCCCACTCGGAGGTCCAGGGAGGGCGCGGTTCCCGGCTGCACGTGTTCGCTTGCCGGAGGCCAGGACCCGGCGCGGGCACCCCGGCAGAGCTGGGTCTGCTGCTGCGGACCGGAGCATTAACTCCCCGCGTCTCCCCCTCCACCCTGCCTGTGTGGCTTACAAACTTGGGTGCCGGGTCGCCCGGCTCCGCGGTCTGGCTGGAGGCTTAACTGCTTCTCAGGTTTGGGGAGGCGGGGAGATTTGGAGGTTGCCACCGGCCCTCCTGGGACTCCCGCAAGCCACTCGTTTCTTGCCTCCTTTTTTTACGGGGAGGGGTGGTGAGCTTGCTCACGAGGAGGTCCTAAAGCCCAGCGGCTGGTTTCTGCAACTCAGCAAAGTAATGATGAACATGGTTTTGAGCACGTGCAGAGAGCCGTTTCCTCAGCTGCAAACCTACTTCTGCCGGTTTTGGAATTAGAGCATTTAAAAAGAAATGCCTGTCGAAAGGTTTTGAGGACGCTGGATACTCTGTCAAGAAAGGAAGGGGGCATCCCCCCTCACCCGACCCCATGAGCGTAGGGAGGGTAGTGTATTTGGAAAAGGCATATTAGATTTCCGTGTGTATCCCACACCCTTCCTCCACGGAGACTAGTACTGGTCCTTTCTTCCTGCCGCTCCCTTCATTTCATCCTCTTAACATCCCTGTGAGATGACTGGAGGAAGGTCATCCAGAGAGAAGGAGCAGTTTTCTTAAAGAGGATACTGGCTTTTGAAAGAACCTTGAAGATTATTTTTATTTCCACCCCACACCCTTCCTCTGTGGGCTGAGGGTTGGTTACATGGGTCTTTCTATCTCTGTTCTTCCTGCTCCGGTTTTGGTTGATATGCCTTTTCTGGATTTTTGTTGCTGTCTGTTAATAGGGGATTGCTTGGTAATTCTTTGTTAATGTCTTTTCAAATAAGAATATTTATCTCTGTGAAGTGCTTTGGGAGTCTTTCGCCCTGACAGATGAGTTCAACATCCTTATAATAATAAGTGAATGGAGACATGGCCGAGGGTCTCCCCACTCCTAGCCCAATAGTCTAACCACTGCACATCCACTCTGGCTTTGGGACACACCATGGAATGCTAACAGAGTCCTGGAAAATTGCAGTAAGTCCCAGAACCTTTCCGCAGGGCTGGATTTAGGGACCCGCGACCTTAGAAGCTGTCTGGCACGCTGGGCTTGGGAGAGGCTGCTTTTCATGCACTATCAACTCAAACATATGAACTCAGCCTCTGGAAAAAATACCAGTGGCTGATATAAATAAATACAGAACTACAACTTGCAACATGCAAATTTATTGCAGTACATGGCAGAGATCAGTCATGGCTACACTTATGAAGGAGGGCTATTGATACAATAAAAAAGCAGATGGAAGGGGTACTGAAGATACTTCTCATCTGGGATGCCTTTTGGCCCAGGACTGACCTCGACTTTCAAGCTTGGTAAACTAAGATCAATCATGAGTTCATTAGATGCGTGTCAGGTCTGTTTTGGGATGCTAAGAAGAGTATTCCAGAAATACCCCTTTTCAAAGGCATCCCCATCCTGGCAAGTTGGCTGAAACTGGGGTAAACAGAAAATATATCTTCAGTTATTTTGAACTTCAATCCCAGCTTTTCTGACCACTGGCCATGCAGGCAGGGCACCTGGGAGCTGCAGTCCAAAGCATCTTGCAATCTACTTTCCGCCTTTCAGAAAAGGGCATGTTAATTTCAGTGGCTCTTATTCTGGTGGGGATGGTATTCCCCCCCCCTTTTTATTTTCATCCCTTTTAAGCACAGATATTTTTCTGAATATTTAGATTTGAAAGGTGAGATAATTCCTGTATTGAGGAGTGATTACAAACATCTGAGTTTGTGAGTGCCCCCTCCCATGTGCTGCTAGAACAAAACAGGGTGAGGCGTCACGAAGAAGAGAGCGTCTGACTGTATACAGAGTGTTCTTTCCTTAGCTAGCGCAGATGCACTGCCTAATGGGGGTAAGGTTGAACCCCAATTCCCCTCTCCTTGCTACACAATCTCCTTCCGAAAACAAGCGCCTGGCTGGGATAAGGTGCAGTGCTGGTGGTGGCGGGAACATTCTCATGAAAGAGCTGAGGATTCCATTCAGTTCCCTAAGTATAATCTTGATGTGACAGGAACTAGCCCCTTATTCCACTGTTCTTCAAAGAGCCCAAGTACATCCTGCAAAGGGAAGAGAAAAAAGCCTGAGCTATTTGTCAAAGGCAGTTGGCTAGACCTGCGGGCCAAAGTCTACAGGGCCCAGCCCCCTGATGACCACCCAAGGAGCAGCAGGCAAGGAAGGCAGTAGAAGCCAACTCTTATTCCCCAAGGTGTGATTCAAATGAGGTTAAAATGCAAACCTATTCTAAGATAAACATTTAAAAGTGGTTCTAAAGCATTGGGTGAGGAAGAGAAATGTTGGTTGTGCCAACACATGGCCATCTAAAGTGTTCAGCCGTTAAGTCTGGAATCCAAAATTAGCTGTGTACTTACCTGTGCACCACAGAGCAATAGTTTTGAACAGAGCCACTGTTTGTACATTGGCATCTTGCATCATTAACCCCTTTCCCACATCGTTGTTTCCATGCGCTTTCCAAACACGATTACCCTAAGACATGTGATGCAGCAAGCTCTTAGTCATCTAATGCATAAATTAAAAGGGTGCTGAGTGTACAAAATGCTCACTGCTAGGTCTCTGCTGCCTCTGCATTCCCAGGGTGTCTGTTGTGCCCAGATGAAGCTTTGTACCGTACCAGGTTTCTTGTTGTAACTCTTTTGAATCAAGTGCTTGTTAAAGTCTGCAGTGAGCTTCAGGTCACTCATTCGCTGGATTTCTCTGCATGCTCTTGTCTGCTATTTTAGGTATGTTATAATAGGGAAAGTGAATAAGCAAGCTCCTCAGCAATGTTAATGAGGCCAGCTTTAGTGAGAAAACAAAAGTTAAATCACAGGTTCAAGCAAGTATATGTAGAGTTTAAAACCCCCCTAACTCTAGTGGGAAGAGTTTAATGAAAGGTGCACTCCTTTTGATTGGTACATGCAGTCAATTTGTTTGGCTGGATGGTTAACTCTTGAAACAAATCTTGCTTTTCATCTCTCTTTAGCAACCCATTTTAAGCTTGCATTTGTTCTAGGCCCAGCCCAAGACAATTTGGTGCAGAGAATCAAAAGGCACACCCTTCCCGCTAATGAACTTGGGGCACAATCTACCACAAGCCTCAGAAATGGGAGGTAGTCTGTTCTTTTCTGGAACTTGAGAAGTTTCTTAGTATATCTGTTAAGATCAGATTTACATATGAATTCAGCTATGAACTGTACCACTTCACAATAATGGTGGGTATTTTATATTACTTGGCTGTACGTACAAACTTAGAATATGAAGAGGATCGGGCTAGGATCCCTCTTCCTAAAACAAGAACAAAAGTGCTGGCAGGGAATGCACTCCGTCATGCAGCTTCTCTCCCTGCTCCACATACACAAGTAGTACAGTCTCAACAGGACTATACCACCTTCTTTTCCTGATAACATAGATAAGTCCCACATTCTACGAAGCTTGCTATCAAGTCATTAAAATAGCAGAGCCTTCTCAGGACTAAGTTTGACAGTCACATTCTATGAATGAATTTTTCTGTACAATGCATGTGCATATGTAGTACCCATGAATGGAATGACAATTCAAAAATGTGAGAGACCAATCTTAAAATGTGGCATCTGAGTCCCGCTACCTTAGATTTTATTGCATTTGGGCATTCTTGCCATATGCATGTCCAACATTTTAAATATGATGCTAGTCTCTAGATGGTGAAAAGACCCTGGGAGATCTCCTGCATTCAGTAGGCTCATTTGAATAAACCCAAACCCTAACTGATGGTAAAGAAATGTAGTAGTAATGTATTATTGTTCTTCATTGTTCTTGGCCAGGTAGATGTTTTTGAATTCATTATGGTAGTAGTAGTAGTTGTTGTTGTTGTTGTTGTTGTTATTATTATTATTATTATTATTATAGCATTTCTATGCCGCCCCTTGCCGAAACCTCGGGGCGGCTTACAACATGATAAAATACATTGAAATACAATAGTACATAATAAATTACCATTAAATATAACAATACAAAAAATACATTGATTTACAAATACAAAATTAAAATTATCAGTATAAAATAAAAATATAGGAGGAGAAAGAGAAGGAAGAAGAAGTTGCCCAGGCCAGATCATATGTTTTAACAATTGAAATGATGTTTAAATAAAAAGGTCTTTACCTGGCGCCGAAAAACCAGTAACGACGGTGCCAGGCGGACCTCTTTGGGGAGTGAATTCCATAGGTTGGGCGCCACCGCAGAGAAAGCCCTCCTCCGGGTACTTACTCTCCTAATTTCTTTCATGGAGGGTTCCCGGAGAAGGGACTCTCCCGCAGATCTTAAAGTTGTAGTTGTACAATACTTTAAGCCTGCAACTGGTGGCATACCTCCAATGGAGATAATCAGCACTTTTCCATTATAAATAGTTGAGTTGTTGTGCAGAATATCCTGGGTTTATATGGTGCTATTCCTTGCTTGCACTCATAATAGCATGTCTCTCATCTTTGCCTGTCTTATGCTACGCATGGAAGACCAGTGCAAGAACCTATAAAGCCACCTTTGAACTGATGTAGACCTCTGTTGATAGAGCACTGAGTTAGACCACTGTCTCTGCTATTAGATCCTTTAGCTGGAATAGCTAGAACTGAACATGGGACCTGCAAAGCAGGTGCTACCTTGAAGCAAAGTGCTTATATTCTCGGATGAGCAATTCCCTGCATGCTTTATTCATGGAGTGGCTAAACCGATTCGGAATGGATGTGAACTGGAAGCCAACCTGTGCACAAAGCTGATTGTGACTAGATTAATTTCTTTGCCCCTCCCCACTAGGTTCACATCTTCTCTTCCTGTGACACACCATTACTGACAGAAGTGTGTGTATGCACGGTTGCGTGTAGGATGAGAAAATAATTCCATGTTCCAGAAAGAGCTGTACAAATAGCAACTGGATGCCATAAAGCTTAGTCCTGTCATTCTCTAGCTTCGTACTTTAAAATAGTTAATGGGACGACAGTGGTTTGAGGATTGCCACCTTACCCTCTCCCAGCTTTTACAATTACAGTAGTATATTGTTCTGTAGATACATAATTGGACTTTTCTCTCATGATCTAAGAAACACAAGGATGGGTGGGGAGAATAAACAAAGGGCTTCTTGTTCTATGCAGAGGAAAGCAAATAATCTCTGCAAAATGCTCCTTCATTAAGGCAAGATAGATTGTACAAATAATTTTGTGGAGGGGACTGTCCAAGCAGCCACCTGCAGAAATTCAAGCTTCCCTTTAGCTGGGGTATATTTAGGAGTAAATCCTCAGGGTCATGGCTTCTAAAGTTCTTTGGAGATTTAACATCATTATGAAATGTTGCGTAGGTCTTCCATGTTAGCAGATTTGGCTGGAGCCCATCCTAATTGATTTTGAACTGAAAGAGGTATGCTGGGGGGGGGGGGGCGGAGGCTCAATTTGTCCCCGAGACTGAGGTTGTATGTGTGTGTGTGTTTGGTGGGCACCCCATGCAATAGTTACAGCATTTTAACTTTTCTCTTTATCCACCAAGAGCTGTGCCTCCCAAATGTTTAGAGTATCTTAGCAAAGCCACGGATCTGGATTTTTAGCAGATGTTGTTTTCTGTTCTGTTAGTGGAAAAGGTTATCTTGGTTACTATTGTGCATTGTTTCAAGGGTCCATGGCCTACAAGAATACTAAGAAAAGCTTGCTTTTTTTTCCAGCTACAAAGAAACGTGGAGGTCAGTTTTCAGTGGCCTTGATACAGTCTGTGGGATCTAACTGTAGGCTAACGGGATCTATGAAAATGCATAATAAAAGGCCATAAAGTAGGCCATGTTAGGATGCATGCTGTTGACTTTTTTTAGATCAAATGGTTTTCTGTTGTGGAACAGCATCAAGGCATGCCCAGATTATGTTGATAGGCTGGTTTCTCCAAGTCTTTACACTTTGCTTTGTAGTATAATGCTTTCCAAAATAAGTGTCTACTTGAGAAATGAAAAAAAATGGGATGAAAGTGCTGCCCACACTGGAAGTTCTATTGCAAGCATTCATAAATTCAGTAGGATTTTCATTGCAGGTGATGCTTTTAAACATTTCTGGTCTAGTCCTCATAGAACAGGAATGGAGAACCTCAGTTGTGGGGACAAATTGACTCCCCCCAGCCCCTATCTGGCCCTTGGAGCCTCCAGGTAGACTCGACTCTTTCCCCTAACCATCAATCATGTTGTGGTTTCTTGGCCTTTATTCAGTCATTTCTTCATTCTGAAATGTTGAAATCCCTTAGCTTCTGGCATGAATGGTTTTAAGCTAAAATAGGAATAGTATTTTTGGCCCATTCACCGCTAGAATGTTTCTCTTTGGGAGCTTCTCCTAAATGGAATTTGGTCCTTGGGTATCACTGTGGAATGCAACTGCCTCAGGTTAAGTTGCTAAATTCCTCATTGGACTCTCCCCTTGTGTCCGTTTTATAGCTGATAAGCAGCTGCTGAGAGAAAATGTCTCACAGAAATTCATCAGCTTTGAGCACAGATCTTAAATCTAGTCCTCTATCTGCAGAGGACTCTGCACCAGCCTGGGTACATTCTTCAGAATATCTCTAGGTACTTACAATTATATATTTGCAGGTCCATAGCTTTGTGGAGTGGTGTGTATACACTGCATGCAAAATGTCCCACATTCAAAGCCCGGTATTTCTGGCTAGGGCTGAAAAAGGTTGGATTTGCATGATCAGGGAAGGAGAAGATGCCGCACTGAATGCTTCTTCCCCACCATGCATGCTGTTGCATGCCATCTGATTTCCATAATTATCCATGGTAGGTGCAGGGTGCCATGTCATCCAAACTGGGTGGTGGTGGTGGATTCCAAGCCATCCCACAACCCATGGTTTGTTCTAGGGTGCTGGAATGGTTTGAAAACTGCCAACCCATGCTGGGTTCAGATAACACAGCAGCCAGGGCCTAGCACAGATAATTGTGGAAATGAAGTTACACATAACAAATTCGTACAGAGTGGGGAAAAGAAGCTTCCACAACCCTTCTTAGTCTTGCAAACCCAGACACTGACTCTGTTTTGAAGCTCACGTCCAGTTACTGTAGACCAGAAGTTGACAACGCAGTACTTTCCAGATGTTTAGGACTAGAGTTCCCATAAGCCCCAGCCAGCAAGGCCTATTTTTAGGAATTATGGGAGTTCCCAGTTGTAAATAATTTTTTCTGCAGATCCAGCAGTGTGTGCTTGGTGTCTTCAGTAATGTCTTTCATTTGTATTCTGTTCAAGTGGTGGTATAATTCTTAGCACTGGGAATGGCTTTTACAGCTTCTGAACCGTGGTAGGGATCCTTAGGATTCTGAGCTAACAAATTTGTAAGGTATGTGCCAGGTTCCACTTCTGCCAGCTACATTTATTATTCTCATTTGGCAGATGTGTGTGTGAGAGTATGTATTCTTTTCTTGTGCTATCGTAACTCCCAGGCACACTTAGCAGGAAGGGTGGTGTTAGGCTGCAATTACTAATAATAATGCACAAACACAATGAGAAAACAACATTGGGACCAATTGGTAATGTGCTGCCAAAGTACAATCTGTGACAATGCCATTAAAATGTTAAATCCGTCTTCCCTGACTTGGTGCCCTCCAGACATTTCAACCCTCCAAACTCCAGGAATTATGGGAGCTGCAGTCCAAAACAACTGGAGGGGATCAGGCTGGGGAAGCCTGCTTAAATATATTCAAAATCAGCCATGTAACTGTAAGAAAAGCCACACCTACTGAAATTATCTCTGC